ATATCCGTTGTAAACAAGTCATGCTATATGAGATAGAAAATAAAATTTAAAATAAATTTGGGGGTAATTGGTAGAAAACTGATATTTAAATAATTAGATGTAAGTTTTTTCATAAAATAAATTCATGACCCAATAATGTAAATTGCCAATAAAATTAATGACATTATATAGAATGCAAATGCTTTTATAAAAAAAAAAAGAATTCAAATACTAGCTACGATTATGGGACCGACTGGTTGCACCGCCGTCACCCGTAAACAGAGTCGTTGCGATTTTCGGCGGTTGCGGGCAATTGAAAAACTGACTGGTTGAACCGCAACTAACCGCAACCGCAACCAAACTTGTGTTTTCTAATCGTAGCTTCCAACTTGCGTTTTGGTAGCGGTTTCCAGCGTTTTGACAAAAAAACTAAAATATTTTTATTAGAAATTATATAAAACATTAATATATATATTGGTGATGATTTTTTTAGTGTTATGATTTGATATTATTTTTTAGTATTATATTTTAATAAAAAAAATACAATAGTATAATTTTTAGGTTTAATAATGATTATTTTTAATAATTTTTATAATAAAATTATTTTTTTACTTGAAAATAAATTAAATTGATAATATTTATATTTTAAAATTATTATTTAATTATTATAAATTTAGTAAATAATTTTTATCAAATGATACGAAAAAATTAATTAATTAAAACTATTATAAAAAATTATTTTTAAATAATATTTTTTTGACAATTTATATCAAAACGCAACCGCAACCGTAATGAACCATTCATTTCTAACTGCACACACCCGCAATCGCTACCAACAACAACTTCTCAACCAGTCAATACTAATCATTTATAATCGCTATCAAACGTTTTGAAAACGCTGTCACCCGTAACCGCAACCGTTGCGGTACAACCAGTCGAACCCTTTCGAACTCTATATGTACGCTGGTTAAAATTATACGGTCCGAATAAAGTATATTTTTTGAATAAATAAGAACTAAAACTTAACTAAAGTCTAAAACCCTAGGCTACATTTGTCGAGTTCCCATCTCCCGACAAAAGTAGGGGAGAGAGAGAGAGAGAGAGAGAGAGAGAGACTTCAATTCGTTACACAAGACTCAGAGATCCACTGCATCTACACATATACATGTTTTTGTAATTGCATGCGTGTATTTGCAGAAATTGAGGGTTTGGAGTTCAAGCGTGTAATGAAAGGCGGCGTACTTTTGGAAAGGCCAAAAAGCATAGGATAAGGTGGCAAAATTCAAAATCGATTGTAGTTAGGTGTTATAAGATCATATAATCCCCGGAAATGGTCTGCAATTTTCCTCCAATAATTCGACAATATCCTTGATTCCTTACATTTTTAAAGGGTCAATTTCTTTTAAATTATTATAATTTGTACCTATTAATCGATACCCCACTTGCTTGAATTATTTCATTTCTATACTATTCTCCTTTTTCTCTCTCACTGATTCAATTTGTCATAATCGTACTAGGGCTGGGCGTTTCGGTTCGGTTCTTCGGAACCGGACCAAACCGAACCGTTAAAACGGTATTTTTTCCGACCCGAAACCGTTGTTATTTTCTGAACGGTACCATTTTTAGAGAACCGAATTTTTCCGGAAACGAACCGAACCGAACCGAACTTTAAAAATCCCGAAAAACCGAATATTTTTAAAAGAAATCTAACATTTTTTTTAATAAAACCCGGAACCGAACCGAACCGATACCGAAACCGAACCGAACCGAATACAATAAAAAACCCGATTGGTACCTATTTTTGTAAAACCGAAAGAACCGAACCGATCTATTCCGTCCCGAACCCGAACCATTTTCCGAAACGCCCACCCCTAAATCGTACTATGATATAAATTGTTATTTTTTAGGAGAAAGCAAAAAAAAAAACATTAAGAGGTGCAGCATGCACCCACTTGAATAAATTTTTTGTAACCATTAATATAATCTTAGATACATGTACGAAACCTATACGGAGAGACGTACGTCAAGGAAAAACACACGTGTTACTGTAAATTGACCAGAAATAAGGGTACTCAATATTATTTATACTCATTTTAAAAATAATTTCTTAAATTGATTTGAGATTTGAAGTTCACATCCTATACATACATGCATATACAATATATTAAGGTTTTAATTTTCTTACCTTTTCAGACATAAATCACCGACCCGTAATAATAAATAAATATGGAGTTATATTGTATTCGAAAAACTCACATAAAACACATTTACTACGAAATGGTTCAGATTCAGAGAATCAACCAACATTTTCTACTGTTACTAAATTCTGTAAACTAAAAGGCCCTCTCTCTCTCTCTCTCTCTCTCTCTATATATATATATATATATATATATATATATTTTTACCGCTACAATATTTATCACTCGCCAATGCATGTGTCTACCTATATTTATGCGAATATTAATTAATTCATTATTTGTTGTGCATATGGTTTTAAAATCCAGTATCAACTATTGAAACATGATAAAGTCATTAGAGGTGGGCGTTTTAACCCGTAACCCGGGGATTTGGAGGTACCCGACTTAACAAGTATCCGAATAAAGGGTACCCGAATATTAACGATGATGAGATCGAGTATTAATAAGACTAAGTTTTCGACCTCCAAGTCCGAGTGGGGGTTCAATTATTTTACAAAGGGTACCCGGGGTACCCGGTATATTTGTTAAAAATCTAAAATATACTTTATATCTATAATATTTTTGTCTAAATTATTCTTATTATTTATTAAAATACTTTTATTTTAGTTCAATTTTTTTATATTCTAAACCTTTCTATACAAAAATTTCATCATTCCAAATCTCATTCTATGTAACCGAATCAACCATTCATCTCTCTCTCAAAATTTTACTCATCTCTCTTCATCATGAATTTTTTTCTTTATACTTTGACCTCTCTCATTTGTATTTTCTATATATATCATTTTATAGTTCAAAATTTTATAAATCGTATGGGTCCGAGTACCCGTGAGTACAAGACCGAGAATCTCATTAAACCCGAGCTATAAGTACCCGGATTTTATGAAACCAAGACTGAGACAATATTTTTGTAAAATCCGTGGTAATGAAGACGAGACAGGGTTTTCTAAAAATTGGGGTACCGGACCCGTGCCCACCCCTTTAACTCGTTGGTAAAAAGACTAAAAGGCAATGAATGTCGTTGGGTGAATTGGGTCATGATCTTCACCTTGTAACGTCTCTCTCTCTCTCTCTCCCTCTACGTTAATGTGTGAGAGCCATTATCATGTCATCAAATTCTCTAACCAACTACTTAACACAAGACGAAAGTGGACAAAATAACACCGAGAGAGGCATTGGTATATATTGCACCGAGAGAGGGAGAGAGGTTTCTTTTGTTACAAAACCGAAGCGAAGATACACAACACACAAGTAGATGTGCAGCATGTTGATGTTCATAGGGGTGGTGCTGATACTTCTGATACTTCTTCCGGCGATTCTGCCGCCGCTGCCGCCGCCGCCGATGGCAGTGATGGGAGTTCCTCTGGTGCTTCTGATCTTGCTAGCCAACTTAGCCTTTTACCGTCCCGAGAGGCATGGACCTCTCTCTTCTTCTCTTCCTCCCTTTGACCCCGTAGTCTTTGGCTAACCAAGGTTTCAGATATGCATCTTCATCGTCATAGAGAGAGAGAGAGAGAGAGAGAGAGAGAGAGAGAGAGAGAGAGAGAGAGAGAGTCCATGTTTTGTTGAGGTTGCTGTTAGTTAAGATCTTACCGAAGGTTGTGTATAATGGGTTTCGGTTTCATCTTGTTTCCTTTTTGTGAATCAAAGCGATTTCCATATATAGCATAGAAGTGTCGGATTGGAGTTTTGTTTACGATGTTCCATTTCTTTGTTTCTTTTTGTTCCTGTTAGATCGTAATTATGTAGACATATTTGTATAATAATACTTGCCTTTAAAATGGTTTTCCCTTGCGTTTTTTTTTTCCGTGCATGGAGCATTTTCATATATGAATCATGCATGTTGTGCAATACATCAATATATAAATTCCAAACAAAACCTGTCACATGAATTATATGATCACAATATAATAGATTCAGACTAAATATATGATACAAGTTATATATCTGAGATTAGTCGAGTGGCTGAATCCCATTTTCGCATACAGTTCAAGTTCCCATCGGAAACATCTGTCGGATTAAGTATATATATATACACACACACACGAAATCTTGAGATAATTTATATTAGAAATTGAGATTGGTTAGATGAATATTCGTTTAAACCAAGCTATAACAAAATACCTAGATGTTTTTTTTTTCTCTTTTTGGACATCAAAATACCTAATTAGGATAACATTCATCTTCGTTAAATGTTTTTTATGCAAATAAAAAAAATCAGAAAATCCAAGCGAACAATAAATTAAAAATAAAAGAACCGGAGAGGCCGTGTAAATACACGGAACGTGGTGGAAGGTTTCCGAAGAGTATTCCTGTACCGACCGTAATCAGCCGGCGACATCAGGTGGAAACGGATCAGATCTAAACACAGCCCTCTGAAGTGAGTATCCGTTCGAATATTGGGGGGGGGGGGGTGACGAGTAAATTACGGAATTGCCCCTCCATTTTATTTTTAAATAATAAAACGAACGAGCCAGAAACCCGCACGAATTCCTCAACGAATGCAGTGAACGTGGCCCCTTTCTTTTGTGTTTTTGTAACAGAGACGATGCACCAACTTTCGAAACCAAAGGGACAAATTAAAAAGGGCGGGAAAGACATGCAAGATTACACGTGTCTTTCGTCATCTATACCTGGGTCGCTTGGCCACCACATGTCGCCGGTCGCCGGCACCGAGTCCTTACATTTTACCGTACGCAGAATTTTTTTTTTTTTAAAAAAAGAAGCTTACCACGTGACGAGTGATATAATATCAAACACATATTTTTTTTAGTTTCAGATTATTATAATACCATGTACATGAAAAAAGAGGCGACAGGTACAAGAATTGTCGGCGGGGCAACCACGTGCCGATAATACCTGATGCGACGAATACGAGATTTCACATGACATTATTAAATCAGGTGGGGATTGGTCGGACCATGGTGTCCGGTTTGGTAGCGAACCGATTGGGGTTGAATTCAGAAGCCGTGTCAAAGGAGAAATTTTCAACAGGTTGTGGGGACGAACTGGGGAGTACGAGGAGATCAATCTTACGAAGTGGACTGCAACTTGGTGGTCGCCACGTGTTCTTCTGATGCTCCGGCGGATGTTTTCCAGTGGTCGGAGTTAGCCTCCGGCGTGTCTTCTTCGCTCGGCGGAACAAGTTGCCAGAACATTGCAAGGTACTTGTCCCATTCCTTCAGAATTGTCTCGCCTTTGCCGCTTCCCGTTCTCTCCTTTTTGGATTCAATGAAAAAGGGAAGGGATAATATGGTTATTTGACACCCAACTGTAGATTAACCCCTAGTCCTCTAATGTTTCCATCAGGATTTAGGGTTTAGGGTTTGGATTGTCTTGTAACTTGTGATATGCACGAGTACATGATTTCATAAATGTGGTAAACGAAGAGGGAAAGGGGGCTTACAACGTGAGCTTCGATGAAGCTCTTAAGCTGGGCCTGTCCCACTGGTGACGTTACTCTTTGGATCTTCACTATCTCCTTGTTTACCTGTCCACACACGAAATTGTTAAAAGCTAAATTTGTGATGAAACAATCATCAGCAGAACCAAGAAAACCGACTGCATCCTTCAATATTTGTCACTTTTGGAATGAGAGAAGCTCGATCGATGGATACCTTAGGGAGGAGAGTGTCGTCCTCATCGAGAATGTATGCCAACCCTCCTGTCATCCCGGCTGCTACATTTCTACCCACTCTGCAATTTTTCGAGAGATGGTGGTGTTATTTGGTTTAAGCCTCCGACTTCTAGCTTTTAATGTGGGGCAGAGCAGACGGCAGGTGGATATCAGTTATTGAAACGCAAAGGAAGAGTTTTTACTTACTTTCCGAGCACGACGACACAGCCACCGGTCATATATTCGCAACAGTGATCTCCGGTGCCTTCGACTATCGCCTGAGCGAGAGAGTTCCTCACAGCAAATCGCTCTCCTGCTTTCCCTCTTACAAATACTCGACCACCCGTTGCGCCGTACAGACATGTGTTCCCTACGATAGTCGCGTCTTCGGGGCAAAATCCACGCGACTCTACCGGCATTATTACCAGTTCACCTCCAGCCATCCCCTTGAATAATAAGATACCATTGGCAATTATATGAGGGGTAAGGTAAAAAGCATTCTTCAAGAGGAGACCGTCGACTTAAACAGGATATGAATCTTGATAAGATTCAAAAACACAGGGATCTAACCTTCCCCACATAATCGTTGGCTTCACCCACAAGGAGTATATTCATTCCGGGAGTTAGAAAGCATGCAAAAGACTGGCCGGCGCTTCCAGTGAACCTGTGGGCACAAGTTCATCTCTGTAAGTTACAAGCATGTATCCTCGAATGTATTTCTTTCAAAAAATATTTGTAGTAAGTGGCCTTACGTAAGGTTCAGTTGTCCAGAAAAACCAGCGTCTCCATATTTCTTCGCAATCACACCTGCAACACGACCGCAAACAGCACGGTCCACGTTGTATATTTTCACGGTCTTTTGAACCGCTTTTCCATTCTCAATTGCATCAATGATCTGTACAACATCCAGCAGTAAATAGCAATTAGCATGTAATAGTACATGCTCTAACGCTATAACATAGAAGAAAAAAAATAAGACCTTCTTTCCCTCCCCATTTTTAAAAGTCTAGTTTTTTTTTTCCCGAGATAACAGCATGTTGCAAATCGTTGTGCCTTTGTTTATCAAATCAGGTATTTTTTGTTCATAGTTAAGGCCGCTCTTAGGCTTGGGAACAAGAAGCTAAAAAATGCAAAGATCAATTAAAATACAATGCATCTTTGGATGATAGGCTATTTGCTACACTAAATAGCCATTCCAGAAGGAGATAAATTATAATCTCTGTTACCTCAGGATCCTGAAGTAGAGTATCATCAAGAACAGGACCATTTGAGTGAACATCCTGAATCCTAATGGCAGTACTGTTCCGTTTTGGAAGCCCCAGAAACTGGAAAGAAAACAGGAAACGAGTTATATACCGACAAGATGTGGTAAAGGCGTGTCCACCATGAGAGTAGAAACATGGTTTTCTAGGGCTTACTGATAGGAGATAGCTCAGGTCAAGATGCGTTTTCACTAGTGAAATATCACGTGGCTTTAGCAAATCTGTCCGGCCAATTATGTCATCCAATTTCTCATATCCCAACTGAGCTAACACTCCCCTCACCTACGAAGATAATAGAAAGTATAATAGGGAGTATCAAGTGTCGAGAAAGTCTGCAAATTTTTTAAACAAAAAGACATTGTTGAAGATTACCTCTTCTGCAATATATAAGAAGAAATTGACAAGATCACCAGGCACACCGGGAAAACGAGCACGCAGTTCTTCTCTCTGTAACAAAAGTTAGGGGAACCTTAGCAAGATCCGGTTATGCAATGGAAAAAGAAACTACAGCCCAAAAAAAAAAGTCCAAATCACCTGACTCGCAACACCAACTGGGCAATTATTAGTGTGGCAAATGCGAGCCATGATACATCCAGTGGCAATCATAGCTAGAGTACCAAACCCGTACTCATCAGCACCCATAGCTGCAGCAATCAGAACATCAACACCACTCTTGAAGCCACCATCAACTCTGAGAAGGACTCTTTCCCTAAGTCCATTTTTCATGAGAGTCTGGAAAAGGTCAAATTTTATTATTAGAGATAAACAAAAACACAAAGGAAACTAATAAAAACTTGGAGACAAACTAAAATCCCACAGCACAAGACGATGTACCTGGTGGGTTTCGGTTAGCCCGAGTTCCCACGGACCACCTGCATGCTTTATGGAACTTATAGGGCTAGCTCCAGTTCCGCCATCATAGCCTGATATCTGGAAAAAAAAAAACAGAAGAAGAATCGTCAATTTCAAAAATATCATACTGAATGTTTAGGTATCTAACAGATAAAATAGCGAGTATGATTAGGCCCTCGCATAAAGATAGAGAGGCATATCTCAAAGGTATTAAATAGGTTGTGATAAGAATAAGATTAGACGCAGTGAATCTCACAGCATGGGAGAGCTAAACAACTTTTCCTATTCTGACAAGAAGGATTTTGGTACCTTTCGAACCATCAGGTTCAAGACAGTTCATTTTATAAACAAAAATCGCAGAACTGCAGCTGATTCAAAACATTTAGTAGTTTTATTTGCACATTGTGGATTTCTCGCATAATGGAGCTCTAAACAAGAAGTGCATACCTGTATGATATCAGCATTAGCCTTTGCAACCCCAGAAGCAACTGTTCCTATTCCAGCTTCTGATACAAGCTTCACTGACACCTTTGCCTTGGGGTTAACCTGTTCATCTTTTCTATCTGAGAGAGCTTCATTATCAGAAAACTAGCAGAAACTTACAAGGTAAATAAGATGCCTACCTGATGGAGATCAAAGATCAACTGTGCAAGATCCTCTATGGAATAAATGTCATGATGAGGAAGTGGAGATATAAGCGGAACACCTGGTTTAGAATTTCGAAGTTGAGCAATGTATGCACTAACTTTTTTTCCAGGCAGTTGGCCGCCTTCACCAGGCTTTGCTCCTTGAGCAATTTTGATCTAGGAGTGACACCGATAGGAGTGACACCGAAACGTCCTGAAGCAACCTATGAAAATTCAAAAGGTAATGGGTTCTTGAATATCCTTACAAGAGTACATATAACAAGAAAGCAAAAGATCGCAAAATAATTTCCTGCTAGTCACTAGATTGTAAACATCAATAACTACTTTATATTACAATAAGAAATTAAAAGTAGATAGAGGAGCTGGCGCTTAACTCAGAGACTCAAACCTGATTATGATCATATCAATGCTGTTACCTGTTTAATAGCACTTGTCGCAGTATCCCCATTTTGAAGACCCTTAAGATGTGGCAGCGTTGGAGAGTACCCATCAACAACATCTGTAAGTGGCTTCCAACGGATGGGATCCTGGAAAAAGGAAAACGAATTTTTGACTATCAACGTGACACTTCTGCCATTTTGCACTTAAACTAGGTTCCTTTTAAAAGAACAAAGTTTGAAATAGGTGATGATGAAGATGAATGACCTCGCCTCCTTCCCCTGAATTGGACTTTCCACCTAATCTGTTCATTGCAATAGCTATTGTTTCATGAGTTTCTCTCGAGATAGCTCCAAGTGACATTCCACCTGTACAAAACCGTTCAACAATGGAGGAAGCAGGCTCAACCTTCCCAACAGGAATAGGACTACGGTCACTTTTGAACTCAAGGAGATCACGAAGAACCTACAGCCCAAGGATATTAAAAAAAACGTTTACTCATACTAGAAAGCACACGGTCGGATATAAAACCAAAGGTATAGTGCCTCACTGTAACAGGACGATTAGCTAGATGCTGCTGATACACTGCATAAGCTGTTTCACTCTTTTCACGGACAGCTTTATGAAGTAATTTAGACATCTCTGGATTGTTCCCATGATATTCCCCTTTCAAACCACAAAAACGAGAAGTAAAGGATAAGATTAGAAAGCTTCAAACCAACCTTCTGAAAACACTTTCAGTTTGGATGCTGTAAAAGGATTTTAAAATCCGTTAAGGTCAGCCTGAACATGTATTTAAAATATACTTCAAGCTTATTTATCTATCTAAACATCATCGTGCATTTAAAAGACGCAAGTAAATCCATGCGTGTCTTTGCAGTTGGGAGAAGCGTGGTTTTGTGCATCGGCATGCAAGCTCATCATCCAACATAAATGAAGTCGATTAAAGTACCTCCAGGCCTAAATTGTATAAACCCAAAATTTTCCAGACGTTTCGCTGTATCCTCAGCAAATGCCCTCACCCAGAATGATAATGTCTCCCTAGCGAGCTGCAAGATATAGGGATATTTACAGATGAGAGGAACTGATGGCTTTTGTAGCCATTCCAAGAATGAAAATGATGCTTCTCCTTGATCAGATAAGTTAGGAACTATTTTATGGAAAGAAAGTATAAGATGATATGTTCAACGATAGTGGAGATCTCTAGCCCCACTTGTGAAAAACTTCTACAATTCTCAGCATAGCAAATCATGACCTGTTGAAAAACCACTCCAGTAGAAAAGGTTATATTTGTTGTCATAAAAGACTTTCCATATGATTGATATTTCTCTGTCATCTAATTCCGACCATGTAATACAAATTTTGTTGTTTTCTAAGCAAAAACTTCTTGCTGAAGAAAAACTAAAGCAACCATCTGTAAAGGAAAATAAAATATTTCAATCTGGGAATGTGAAGCAGCCAAAATCACAGGAGACATGTTTGAGCATGTGTGAAAATACAGCATACCTGCCTTAAGTTGGTAAAAAGACCAAAAGAACATAGTGTCCAAAAAGCTTTTAGAACATTAGCAAAAAGCTAACAGATTGTTATCTGAAAAAGTAGCTGGTGATATAAAAGATCTGTACTTAGACCTGGTGATTCATAAAACTCGCAAGTAATCACATTTATCCTAGTACTCCAAAAGTTTGGGGATTATTCTGACCTCATCAAAAGTTAACCCACCAATTTGGGATGCACTCCCACGGAATGCAAGTTCAACAACCTCCTTTCCTAATCCGCAAATCTCAAATATCTGTGCCCCACAATAACTGAAAACAGAAAGCTGAGGTTGTTGAAGAATAGAACTAACAGATATATAGAAATGCCGTGTACGTAGAAAGTTAAACCATCCCACCTTGAGAGCAATGATATACCCATCTTAGAAAGAACCTTGAGAAGACCAGTGGTCACAGCCTGCAGTAACAATTCAAAGAATCTTATCATTGCCTCACCCCCGTTACTTATGTAACACAATTATAGCAAGGAAAGACTACCAAAACGGTCAAGCAAGCAAGGTGTGCACGCCAACATAAAAGCCAATAACATATCAAGTTACAATAGAATAACATTTCAGAGATATGATACGCGAAAATAAAAAACATGAACGTATCTGACCTTGAAATAATTCTTCTGAGCCTGCTCGATTGTTACTGTTGGCATCTTTCCATTCCTCATCATATTCACAGTCTTGCTGCTCAGACGCCACTGTCTACATGTCTCCAGAGCAAGATGTGGGCATATAGCACTGGAAAACAGTTATGCACACAAACATCATATTTCAACAGTTATGATATCCAACAATTGTGAAAATCATTCTTAAATCATCAGTCAACTGAACATCAAGATATCAAGTGCAATAAAATATATAATGTAAATATGAATTAACTATAGACACAGTATTAAAATGCCACGGCAGAACCAAGGCAGAAAGAGAAAATAGTCCAAAATATCACATGGAGAATTTCAAATGATATGCATTTTGTACAAAAACCGACAAAGACCAAACAAAAAATGTGGCATGTAAAAAGTAAAAGAAACCTTGCTCCATAACCAATCAAGCAGGCGAAGTGATGTGTGCTGAAGCACTGAGCCGTGTCAGCAATTATTGAAGCTGACATCCGCAGGCCATTCTGGATCAGATGCTGGTGAACAGCACCAACAGCCAGCAACATTGGAATTGCAGGCCGAGTTGGTTCCTAAAGGGATGGGAAATAGATGTCAAATATTGAAAAATTCCAAATGAAATAAAAGAAAGGGACACAGTTTGGTGCGAATACAAAATAATGCATACTAAAGAAGCCTCAAATAGAAAATGACAACAAATATCTGAGGAAAACAGAAATGCACCGAGCATCAAGATTTAGATAGCAAAGTTAAGATACCAATAGCCAGAACATGGATAGAATGTCACCAAAAGCAGGGTGTCAGTTATGCAGATTAAAACAATACATCAGAGAGGAGCCTACTAAATGCTGGATGCAGCAGTCCAGTTTAATAGCAATGATGTGAACTTTCACCTTCACATTTGAATTTGGAAAAGAAGTAAAAAATGGAGGCGGATTTACAAAGCTTTCTCTATTTTCTTGACAATTCTTATGTCCGGGAGCAAAGAAAGGGATTGTTGCTGTTGACTTTATGAACAAGAGAGATCAAATCGTGATAGTTAGAAAGAGCGCAAGTGAAGTACAACAAGAGACAACTATTAAAGCACACAAATACCTAGAATCACTCAGTGAGGTATGGAGTAGAGAATGGAGAACTGAAGCCCTATACAATTATATTGAAAAATAAATTGTACCTACCAGGTCATCAGATCGGTCTGAAAGAACAAGCAATTGGGAACCATTACGAACTGCTTCATCTGCAGCTTCACAGAGTTTATGCAGTGCTTTCTTCAGAGATCCTTCAACTCCTCTATGTATGTCGAAAAACGTGGGTAAAGCTTGGGACTTTAGATGTGGATCACTGAGCAATTTCTCAAGCTCCCGCTCATTTAGTACAGGGCCAGACAAAATGACCTACTCATGAAATAGAAACTACCTTTAACGAATGTGAAATCTTGGAAAATCCCAAAAGTTTGTAAGAAAACACAACCTACGATCCAAAATTTAGGCATACTGACCTGTGAAACATTCTGAGGTCCAATCTCCAACATGTTTACACGCTTCCCAATATTAACTTCCAGTGACATGACCAGTCCTTCTCGTAGAGGATCAATAGCTGGATTAGTAACCTGAAAGTATAATACTCTCACGTGAAAATTTTCAAAGGAGACCATTTTGATGAATATGTCAAACAATGAGCCCAATGTTCAATATGCCGTTCCAGTTACAGCAACAAACAAACCTGAGCAAACCGTTGCTTGAAATAATCATAAAGCAAATGGGGTTTCCGAGACAATGCTGCTAGTGGAGTGTCATCTCCCATGCAAAATGTCGGTTCTTTGCCCTGTGCGGCCATTGTCTCGATAACCATTTGAACATCCTCACTTGAGTAGCCAAATGCCCTGGTTTCTCAAAATAAAAGTACCATGAAAAGTTAAAAATTAGTTGAACCTTCAATGCTGAGAACACCATCTAAAAAAGATAACTATCAAGGTCTCCTAATCACAGAACAAATAATATTTTACAAAATGGAAGCCATTGAGTTTACATCTCGAAATCATAGTAACAATGTTTTAGAACAAAAACAATTTATGCACCCTCATAATGAATAAATGGCTGTTATACCAACCCTAAAAGTTTTTAAAGTCAAGGACTTCAACACGAAATGTATCGCCCTGTTATAAACTTATTGTGCAGTCAAGGAGTAATGAAAAGACTCACTGTTGGCGCCTTAAGCTCTCTTCAGACTCCATGATCGCTGATGAGAGAAAATGAGCAGGCTTTAGCTTTTGTAGGTTTTCATTAACCCACTTTCCATATGGATTAGATGATGCAACTCGCTTCTTGACTTCTGTGTTCTCATACACCTGTTGGGCATGTTAACATAAGGAGCATAAAAAACAAAAACCAGAGTAAATACAACTAAAAGAGAAAGATTGACCACAATTTGGTTGTACTAACCTGTCCACTCTCTAAATCGACAGTGATCATCATGCCAGGTCCTAGACGACCCTTCATGGTGACTTTTGATTCATTCATAGGTAGAACCCCAACCTGCATAAGAAGGCACATAACTTAGTGTCTTATCTGCTGCATGCTAATCACAGAGTCTAAACAGCTTTCTACGTCCTAAGAAATTCAGTAAGTAGTTTTGCAAAATAGTAATGATGTTCCCTCTTTCTGAGGAAATTGCATCAGGTAAGACAGATCTAATTGCTTTACTGCAAAAGGATTTAGAAAATTCCACTAACTCACACTTAATGATTGCAAGTAAACATTTTTCTTTTGGTCATATTGTCACAAAAAACTTTCTGGCTATGTCGACGAGAAAGATTCCCAAAGCTATTGCAGGAAATGATGATGTGACAAGCGAAAGTACACCTGACCCACCATGATTAAAAGCTTAAAGATTCAGAAATAAGTCAGTATGTATGAGCACAGATTGTCATGACAACTATTCTTAAGGAAGGAAAAGGTACAGAGGCTTCAATAGACAGAACACACCTCAGAGGCAACATAGACAACGTTGTCACTTGTCCGCCAATATCTAGCAGGCCGAAGTCCATTTCGGTCGAGGCAAGCTCCAACCGTTTTTCCATCACTGCACTCCAAGAGCCAAGGAAACAAAGCTTAGAATGCAGAGCTAGAAGAAAGAAATGTAACAATTTTGCTAATTAAATATCTTCCACATATCCAGGGGCTATTATCATCGCATCCTTTGCCTTATAGTTACCTTATCTTATCATGGACTTCACCACACGAAGAACAGCATAGATTGGAAAGACATTAAAATCTACAACTCTTTCAGAGTAGTAGTTGCAAGAAATTGATTGTGTTTGTTAGTTAACAACTTAGGAAACAGAAAAGTAGCTGAGAGAAAACTCCTAAGCACACACATCACAACAAACAAATTTAAGGGCTGAGCAGTCCCCAAGCAGATTACCTGAACAAGATTAATGCAGGTCCATCCCAAGCCTCCATCTGTCCCTTGTAGTAATCATAAAAATCTACAACCTGCAGTTGCATCCAAATGGAAAAAGTTCTGGCAAATGTCAAAGACCACAACCACATGAGTATAAGGGTCCTAAAAGGAAGCAATACCTCAGGATATTTAATCATTAATGTCGGATGGTTTTTATATGCTTCTGGGACGAGAATCATAAGAGACTCCTCTGGAGTTCGGCCACTTCTTATCAACAGCTGCACAAGCCAATATCATAAATAAATTTGGTTCTGATAATCTGACATCAGCAAGAATCTGAGCTGATAATTTCAAACTGCCCTTTAGTCAAGGGCAGTTTGAAATTCCTTTGAGGTCTTGACTAATGGAAAAAGTTGAAATATGTGAGCTGCACCTTTACTTTCATCAGTTGAAAGTTTACAAAGCTGGTTTTATAATGGTAAGCCCCACTCAAACAGAATATCACTAGATGTTGGTCTAGTTCCACATTCAACAGAAACACTCCATGCTTCATTTTATTCTCCAAAATAATTATCATAAAGAGAATCACAGCAGATTAACAAAAATTAGGAACTTAGGTGATTCTTACTTCGGCTGCGCTATCAAGGTTAGCAGAGTCTGAAGCCTTTGGATTGCCAAATGGGCGAATATCATTTTCACGACCGCACCAAACAGGTGATCTCAATGAGGCTTCTCGAGATTGCATCCAGTTCAAATTCCCCTGCATAAATTGATCAGTTTCAGCAGTGAAGTGTGATGCTACTCTTAAATACAAAATTACCATATCAACCAGAACCAAACCACAACCTGTATGGTATTGATCTCTCCATTATGTCCAAGAAACCTCATCGGCTGAGCAAGAGGCCACCTTGGGCTAGTATTTGTGCTATATCTTCGATGGTAGATGGCAAAAGAAGATTTGTAGAGGTCATTTTGAAGGTCAAGATAAAATAACCCAAGAACTTCTGACCGAAGCATGCCCTTGTAAACAATGGTCTGGTTGGACATGGAGCAGAAGTAGAGCTCAGCACCCCAACTTTCGGAAGCTACTGCTCTTTCGATCAGTTTCCTGCAGATGTAAAGCTCTCGTTCAATGTCCTCCACATTCTCTTCTTTGACAACTCTAACAAAAACCTGCTCCATACTTGGCAACGTCTGTTTTGCATAAAAACCAACTATGGATGTATCTACAGGAACTTCCCGCCATCCAATCACCTCCAAGCCCTCTTTCTCGAAAGTACTAGTAATCACTGGAGAACCACTTCAAACAGCTTTCAGCAAAATAATAATAGTATAACACACACAAAATAACCTCTCTGTTTTAAACCATCCGGAAAGATGATACATGATAAGGACAGATAAAGAATTCTAAGGTGCACCTTTTTTGGCTTCTCCCTTAAGGTTGTCATCTTTCGGCAGGAAAAGCATTCCAACACCTGTATGCAACTTGTCAAAAGAAGCAATTCCTTGCTTGCCAGCCCATTCGTTTAATAAATCCCAAGGGATTGAAGTCATCAACCCCGAACCATCACCCGAATCATTATCACCCCCACAACCTCCCCTGTGTTCCATGCATCCAAGCGCTATCAGGGAATCCTTTATAATATCATGTGTAGCCTTATTTTCCAAGTTCGCAATAAACCCAACCCCACATTCTCCCCTTTCCGAAACTATATCCTCCAAGTAGGCCACCTGTGATGTAACACTTCAACTATTTAATTCATTGAAACAGAAATAACCAAGCATTTGGTGAGACAAATTCCTAGGTTCAGATTCAGACAGACAAATTCAAAATGGGTGCCACTTCAGTGATCGAAAAGATGATAGTCACTTCACCGGCATAGACCAAGACCAAGATCAACAAACCCAAATATGAAATAAGCAAAGCTCCTAATCTTAAACTCAATAAGACTAAAAAGAAAAAAATACGGAAAAAGAAAACATCACCTCAGGTCTCAAATCAGATACCGAAGCCGACGCGTCTCCGGCGACGCGTTCAAAATCAAAGATCGCTTTCACCGGCGATCGCAGCCGCGAAGAGGACTTCAACAGTGGAAGATAATTCCGGGAACCAGAGACCTCGATTCGTCTTCTCGTTCCCTTAGAAACACAGTACGATCCGATGAAGTCGACGAAGAATGGTGTCTTATTGGAGATCGATTTCGTCGAACAGATTAGCCGCGAAACAGGAGAGGACGCTCCGAAGGCGGAGGCGCCGGAGACTGTGGTGGATTGTAGCGCCATGGGATCACCGAGAGAGCGCGACTCTGGGCGGAGAGGAAGAAAGCGATCGCTCGGAGCCCGACCCTACAGCTAGTTCTACGATTGGTACCGTTATATTTTCAAAAAGTCAAAATGGAAACAAGTTAATATCCTATGCGGCAGAGCATACCAGAATGCTGAAAAATCTAGCCGTTGGTTCTGTTCAGATTGTGGCACGTGGCGATGATGCTCGATGATACGGTGTGCGCAAACATAGATGATCCGGACCTCCGTGGGGTTTAGCCTCGCTCCGCGATTCGCGTCACGGGGAGTGGTTGCGTCTGGTACTGAAACCGTGCTTGCACAAGAGGAAATAAATATAAGAAAATGGGTATTTATTTATTTATTTATTTTTACATTAGAAAAACAAGTTTCCACGTAATAATTCACTTAAGACATTACATTATGTATATAAAATAATAATTAAGAAATGACGACGATACAGATAAGACGAGAGAATCTGCCCGTCCCGACGGAAAACGACAACAACAGTTAACGATTAAACAATTACGGGAATCTCAACGTAATAGCATCATTACATACGTTTGCTGTATGGAATCTACTGGTCGGTCAGCTCAGCATCACCATTACCAAATCAAGAAATTTTCAAATAAATCACACAATAATTTAACAATTCGATCATTTTCCTTGTGGCAGTCAAGTGAAAAACGAGCACTAATGATTAAAAAAAAAAAACGAGCCCTAACCTAAACAGTAGTCTTTCTTGAGATGTACTTGATTCAAGCATTGACATAAACGCACACGACTCATTGCTAACTATTTGGTTTCGATATTTTGAATGTACTTAGATTCAAGAATTTGTATTCTCTCATATGAGTCTGATTACTACATCTTGGGATTAGGTGTTTTGATACTCTCACACCAATCGTTACTGTACAACATATTTTGAAGTTAATATATATTTACCTTTATAAAAAAAACGAGTCCTAACCTAAACAGTCTTTCTTGGGATGCAAGAAAGAAACCTAATGGGATAGGCGGTCGACATGGAGAGATGGTTGTAGTGAATGCTCTTGTGGGTGTGTTCGAGCTTCTTGCTAATGTCGTAGTCTTGGAGAATGTCGATGGCGCCGAAGATCACCGCGACTTGGTAGTACTGTCGGGTCGGCTCCCCAATCAGCTAGAAATCGCAGTCGGGTCTTCTCGCCGTTCTTTCGGACACGTGCTGGCATGTTTCTTCCCAATCTGATTCTTGCACATCTGTAAAACTAAAAAAAGAATGGTAACCCGCAAAGGCATTTTTGGTATTGAGTTCGAAGTCTCAGACATCAAATCTCGGTTTCAATGCCAAATCGTAATTTTGGATACCCCACGAGTATCCAAGGCCGAGTCTCGGGTTCGGGTGTGTAGTGCCATAGAACTCGAGTTTGGGCTTGAGTCTTCTCACATGATACCGTCTAGGTAGTAAATGACATTTTTACCTCTGATCTTTTTAACAATTCTCAAGCTTCTGAAGGCAGGAACCGTTTATAAATGGTTAGAATCCTGCAGGGTAGGAGGATCAACATGTGAAATAAACAGATGAGCCATCATGTTGTGTCTGACCTGAAAACTAATAGGCAATAGTCTTTCCGTTTGAATTTTCACAGGATTGATGTGGAGGAGTGTACTTGGTTCCCTCCGGTGGAGACCTCGCCCATATCTTCTCCTTCGGGCCAAAAGCCGAAGGTCTCAGATCGAGAGATACCATTGGAGCTTGTCTTCTAGCAGAATGTCTGAGGAAAGAAACCATTTATTAGGCAAACAACAAGATCGAAGGGATCAAATCGTATAATCAAGGAGTATGCTTCAAAGAAATTAGTAGACGCAAGTTGAGTGATATTTACCTAACTCCTAGCTGTAGATTAAGCCCTAATTCTTAGCTGTAGTCTATAGCCTATAGATTAAGCATAAGCTCATAATTTCGATGGCCCTTTGGATATTGTCTCACCTAGCTCCCTCCCTGCCTTTGGAAGTCTCATGGGCTGAGCAGATGACCCTTTGTTCGGCATGTTGCCATCATCGTCTGGTCTCTCAGTAAATCAGCATCCAAATTTCTCCTCGTGTTGCAATCAACCTCAACATCTCCATTACCATTCTCACCTCCTCGGCTTCTCTATCCGTTTGGAAGAATTCCAAACAGAGAGCTTCTCTTGTGAAGGTATCACAGGAACCCTCTTTCCGCTACAAATACTGTACTCACTCAGATTATCGTACACATTCCTAGGATCTCATTCAAGATTTTCGTCGTTTTCTAAAGGATAAGAAGTACCATTCATTTCTTGTGGATCCTTGGACCAATGACCGATGTAAAAACTCCAATCATCCCATTTGAAGATCTCATTTCCTTTTGGGAAACCATCCTCCCAGAACCCATCGTTTCCACTTTCGTTAGTCCATATAAAAGTTCTTTTCCCGCATATTGCACCATTCTTCCATTCTCCAATGTAATGGTTTTCGCCCCGTCATTGGTACTTTCCTTGCCCTTCTTGATAACCCTTCCTCCATTCTCCATCATACACATCTCCATTGACATAACTTTTGATGCCATATCCATGTCTCAAGTGTTGGTTTAGTGTTCTACGATGTACTGCTATATGAGCTTTATTTTGATGCATTTGATGTATTGACACTTATTATGGATATATGGATAAGTGTTTGATTCATTACATGTTATGCATACTTTAATATGTTATGAAGTCCATGTATTGTTGTGAACAATGCTAAACTCTCTAGTCATATATCATTGTGGGAACAATGATGTACTAAGACTAGTACGATGTGTGATAGAGATGATCATAAAGATGATCATGGGTATTGGATACGATCACAATCATAGATATTCGTTGGAGAACGAAATATTGGAATGGCCCGCATGAGATTGTCACATGGACTAGCGTCATGACTTGAATCTCATGTGACGGTTCCATGATTGGATCTTGTGACCTGAGATATCTACAAAATCCAACATGAGGAATTGTGTACTTTGAATACATCAAACGTCCTGTGTAATAGGAGGACTATAAAGGCGTGTATCAGGTACGACACGAATCATGTGCTAGATTGTAGATAGTCAAGATGGGATTTGTACCTCTCGTAAAAGAGAAAGATATCGCTGGGGCCCCTCGTGTGAGCGAGACTGTAGAAATGTGTGGTCACACTATAGATGAGCGTCGTCTATTTCATACAGTCGAACTCTGTGAACGAGAAAGCAGTCGAATCAGATAAGGTGACTTCTCCATGCCTTATGTTCGACGTATGATATCGTGATACAAAAGGATCATCAACCGGAATCATCACCGATGTTCGTAAGATCACGAACATACTCTATCCGAGATAGATAGTCACAGTGTCTTGCTAGAGACCGTCTATGACTTGTATACCCAAAATAGAGATTTCAAGTTATACTGCTATATCGGATGAGCCTACAGGGTCACACATATAGGAAAGTACAAATGCACGAGAAAAGACGAGAAATTCCTGGTGGAACGGAGGCCAGACCGACAAGCTTGCCCAGACCGACCGGTCCAAATGCGTGGACCGGTCGGTCCAGAGGTTTCAAACAAATGTTGTTTGGTTCAGAAAAAGGTCCAGATCGATCGGTCCAGAGGCTGAAATTATTTATCTCACTCTAATAAGGGTTTCGGGGTAACCAACACTTTGGGAACGCCTCCTAATCTTTGAAGGACGATTTCCTAGACTTTTTCAGAGGTTTTTGATATCCGAAAACGAAGAAAAAGATCTCTGAAACTCTTGCGCATTGGAGAACTAGTTCTTCAGTCCTAGTAGACAAGTTCCAATCCGTTGGAAACCTTTCCGTCGTGTGGATACGTGTAGAGGGCGAGGTAATCTTCTTGCCTTTGTGATCGGACGAACACATCAATTGATACATGCCTCAGATCGATTGAGGTAAGCGTTATAACATTTCTACGATTCATACATGTTTGGTTTTAAGGTTTATAGAAAATTTTTGTTTTACATCCGTTGCGCAAACCCTAGAACCGATCTCTTAAGAATTAGATTCGCTGTAGAGATCTAAGGAATTTCCAACATTTGTATCAGAGCCTGGTTGCTTTGTATGATTTCGTAGAACCCGATCACGCACGTTATAGGGTTTAAATCGTTAAATCTATGTTTGTTTTGATCCTATGCATGAATGGATTGTGGATCTAGAGTAGATTTTGTGTTCTTTGTTGGCAAGAGGTTCGTGTTCTAAGTTCACAGGCGAAAATCAGATCGAATTCGGGTCTGAATCGGGGTCGAAACGACGAAAAACGTGATCTGATCACGTTTCGGTCTAGGGTTTCGTTTTTTCTCGGTTGGACTGAAAGGTCTGGACTGACCGGTCCACATGTGTGGACCGATCGGTCTGGACGTTCCGGACCGACCATACCATATTCGTGTGGATCGACCGGTCCAGATCTCTAGACCGACCGGTCCACGTCCCGAGGTAAGACCAAAATTTTGGGTTCTTCATTGCGCGATCTAACTTGAGCAATAGTTTCTTAATTCGATCAACTGTGATTCAGAATAACATGATTCATTCTTTTGGATGATCCATAGTGAATGAATACATGTAACTTAATCAAGATATTGTATATGCTTGATTGAGTGAGAGCTTCAGAATTAGAATTATGTAACCGAATGGATAGTCTATTCGAATTATGTAATACAACTGATCAAGGTACAATAGTTGATCCTTGATTCGATTGGTACAATCGTTGCATCTAAGCCGGTTAGATCTTGGAGCTCTACGAGTAAAGCACTTGTCAAGGCCTCGATCGTACGTGTCATGGGCCATGCCAAAGCTGGGTGTGTTGTATTATCTTGGTGAGGAAAGATGGAGAAATGGTGGTTCTCATAGCTTGAAAGTAGATGATTGATCTAAGTGTGGTTTAAAAATCCCTTTTATGTAATGCCAAGCTAGTACCTTCCATTACTAAAACACTTGTCAAGGCATCGATCGTCCGTATCACGTGTCATGCCAAAGCTGAGTGTGCCAGATTATCTTTGTGAGGCAAGGTGGGAAATCGTGGTTCCCACAACTTGAATATGGT